TCCCTGGTAATCAGTCATATTAAGGGATAATGGGATACGAAACATCCAAATCTCATTCCTTATCGGGAGCATGTGTTAACATTAATTCCATACTTCGAAGAAATTTCTTTTGAACACATCCCACGAGAAGATAATCAGTTAGCAGACGCGTTAGCTACCATGTCATCTATGTTCAAAGTTAGATGGGACAATGAAGCTCCTCGAATTACTATTGAGAGGCTAGATGAACCGGTACATTGCTACGAAGTTGATACTGATGGAGTAGAGGAAAAACCTTGGTACCACAAATTAAAAAAATACCTAGAGACTCAAGAGTATCCTGAAGGAGCATCTATTAATGATATGAAATTTCTATGAAGGTTATCTACCAATTTCTTTCTGAGTAACAAAATTTTGTACAAGCATAATCACGATTTGACTCTGTGTTGTTGTGTAGACAAGAAGGAAGCTGAGAAGATTATGGAAGATATGCACGAAGGAGTCTTTGGTACTCACTCCAGTGGGCATACGATGGCTACGAAAATTCTGAGAGCGGGTTATTATTGGTCGAGCATGGAAACTGATTGCCATCGTCATTCCAGAACTTGTCACAAATGCCAGATTTATGCTGACAAAGTTCATGTGCCTCCGGTTCCTATGAATGTCTTGACTACTCCTTAGTTGTTTGCAATGTGGGGCATCAATATGATTGGAGAGATTAAACCTACCGCTTCTAATGGGCATCATTTTATCCTAGTTTCTATTGATTATTTCACGAAGTGGGTTGAAGTAGCCTCGTTTGCCTCCGTTACCAAGAATGTTGTGGCCCAGTTTATTAAGCATAACCTCATCTGTCGGTATGGCATACCTTAAAGGATCATCACAAATAATGGTACTAATCTCAATAATACTATGACCATGGAACTTTGCACGCAGTTCAAGATTAAACACCACAATTCTTCTCCATATCAACCAAAGATAAAAGGCGCAATAGAAGCCACCAACAAGAATATCGAGAAGATTTTGCAGAAGATGACAGTGACGTACAAAGATTTGCACGAGATGCTACCATTTTCTCTTCATGGTTATCGCACCTCAGTACGTACATCAACTGGGGCAACCTTGTTCTCTCTAGTCTACAGTATGAGGGTTGTCTTACCTGTCGAAGTCCATATTCCTTCCCTAAGGATTATGAAAGACGCAGGTTTAGATGAAGACGAGTGGATTCAGACTAGGTTGGACCATATAAATTTGATTGACAAGTGAAATAACTGGCTTGAATCATCAAATAATGAAGTCGCCATTGAACGTCTTTTATCCCACATGAAGAGAAAGGTAAACATCGAGAAAACCTGAGAAGGGAGAAGTCACGGTATTGTGACCGAGAGATCGAGTAAGGGAGTCTATTACGCGAGGGGAAGGTATTAGCACCCCACACGCCCGTAGTACTATATGATATCCACTCTTGTTGTCCATCTTATGGGTGTGTCTAATCTACGCTTACTATTTACTACTGAGGAAGAATGCATGCAAAAGAAAGGAAAATAATAAAGGGAAAATAAAGTTGTGCTCGCTTAGGCCCTACCCCAATGCCTATGTATCCTTTTTGAGGAATCAGAGTTACCGTAGTTCGGCTCACATGTTTTTGTTTGTTTTGTGTTTTTTTATGAACAATGTTAATCCCGCCTTCTGTTGCAGCTCGACCTTTGGAGACTCACGCGTTAGCACAGAAGTAAATTAATCATGTCCTTACTGAAAATGATTTTGAGTTACGCCCTCAGGGAAAGATTCCACATTTGATTGGTTTATGTTTTGTTACCTTGAAAAAGAGTTTAAGTGTGATTAACATGTTTTATGGTTTGCTAAAAAAGGTTTTAGTCTTAGATGCATATGTAAAAAAGTGGAAGAAAAGAGTCTACGAGAGACTAGCCTATTTCTAATCCTAATGTTATCATACAATGGTGGTCCTAAGGTTTGGATTAAATGGAAATCTCTACCTACTATTAGCATGCATGGTTTGCAACCTAAGGTCTAACTTGCATCCGAAAGGAACAAGCGTATCCTAAGGGAACATGGTATGTACAAGGATGAAACAAGCAAGCTCGAAGGAGAACACACGTAAAATAATAAGGAAAATAAGCGAAGTGCTTTAGCCAAGGGGAGCGTATCATCCAAGGCAAATAAGCGGGAGTAAGATGTAAAACAAAAATGTGATGTCCAAAGTGACTGAACATCTAACCAAGATATAGAAGATCTAGGTAGACGATATAAGGCAGTATGAACAATCACGGAGTATCAACATTGATCAATTCGAACACCAGACAAAGCGTGGGGGTTTGATTGCAAAATCCTCCCCCACTTGACGAACTCGATACATATGATCTTGGGAACATGTTAGGAGCTCAGAATTTGCAAAAAGTGAGCATAGGAACGACACGGACGAAAAATGGTGGGGTTTGGTTGCTAACCCTTTCCAATTTCCTTCCCATGAGGACTTGGGAATGGTTGCCATTAAAGGATCTAAAACCATCATCCCGCTATACAATCACAAATGTAAACATACGTGCATAATTTTAAACAACCATAATTAACATACATAATGCACACAATGCGGAATTGCCCTGAACGAGTCTTTAAATAAATCAGAGGGATTCCTGACATGATCAGCAACGAATATCCCCTTCATACATCTCTACCCTACTTCTCATGGCATCAGAATGCAGTTAAGCCTTACTTCTCACGATCTCTAGAAAAGTACTAAAGAAATGCGATAAGGTACGGGGAAATACAAAAGTAGTAGCGGTGACTACCACAAAAAAGCCAATCGCTGAAAGTAGACGAAAGAAATGGAGAAGTAGGGAGTACACATCGAGCAAGCTTCACCAAGAAACAAACAAATTCAAAAATGATATCCAACTAAGATAAAAGCAAACACGTGTTATGAATGCAACGCGTAATCAGAAGTTCCCGCACAAAGCATCACAAAATATCACATGCATTTGGACAATATATAATATGATATGAATTTCTCAGGACGATGATAAATAAGGCATGCCGTATCAGAAGCGGGCATAAGCCATGTGATTCGATCACATAACAACTTGTTATGTTACATGATTGAAAGCACAAAAATGTACCTTGCACAATGAACAAACACGTCAAGAATAACGAGGCAAAACGGTATGAAAATATGGATAAAAACTAAAAGGAAAAGTACTTTTTATTAGTTTTTAAAGTAAGGAAAATTCTAAAAAAAAAAACTAAAAATTAATTCCTAAAAATTTCGATTATATTCTACTATTTTTTATTGTTTTTATTATATTTTTTCTATATAAAAAAACATGAAAGAAGAAATTAAAACTAGAAAAGATATAAAAAAGAAAAAATAGGGAAGTCAGGGGGTGTTAAACTGGATCAGGGGCATAAACCAGCAAGCACGGTGTTAGGCCCATGACCAAATGTTCTGGAGCCTGTTTTATTGTTTGGTTTTAGACTTTTAAAAAAATGGTGTAATGGGCTAGGAAAGGTGGTTATGTGCAGTAAGGCCCAAGGAATGGTTCAATAGTCCAACAACCTTCATCACCATTATTCACGTTTCAGCATTATCCCATTTTTATTAAACTGAAAAAATGAATAAAATAAATAAATAAAAAATTAAATTGTACATTGATGCTGTGAAATGGTGTAGTTTTGATGGTGATAGGGTTAACAAAAGAGAAAAGAGATTGGTGAACTTCTTACAAAACGCGATAACACATTCTCTTCTCAATCAACACATCAATGCCGATCCTCATTCTTCTTCTTCGATTTCCTTACAGCACCATTGTGACCAAACCTTCCATCGTCGACCAATTCAACTCACCTCACCTCTACGTCCTTGCTTCGTCATCGTCGTCCGCGATCTGTTTCCTCGTTCTCTCTTGCCCGGTTTAGATCTTCTCTTAATCTCCTTCGTCCTGGTTCTCTCTATGTTTTGCTTTTCTCTGATTTATCTTCGCAATTAAACACAACCAAACGAGTAACACACATCTAATGCTAAGGGAAGAGGTCGAAGCGAGTTACCTACCTGAAACAGTCCGGTGCCTCTTTGATGGCGGTAACAACGAAAAATCCAGAGAAAGAATAAGCTCAGGTATACGTTTCGTCTTCGACTCTTTCCCTTCTTCTGCTTTTCGTTTTCTTCTTCTCTTGATTCTTCTGTGATGTTACATTGAAGATTGATGCACAATTTTGTCATTTGCAAAGAGTACAAAATGGAGCGATGAAGGTTGTGGGATTCAGAGAGGGGTGAAGAAGGTGGTGCGGAGAAAAGTGGTTAAATTGAAGAAGAAGTTATGTGATAAGAGTGGTTGTGTGACGGTTGTCGAGTGATGGAGTGTGGTATGAAGATCGGGGAAGATGAAGATTGAAGAGGTGTGAGATGAGAGGATGAAGAAAGTGAAGATAGTTCAAGATGGAGTGTGGAAGAGAGTGAGGGTTGAAGATCAGAGATTCCCAAGAGAGTTGAAAAGTGAGCCCTTTCTGTCATCTCTATATTCTGTTACACCTTCTGTTAGAAGTAGTTAGAAGCATTCTGAGGTTGGCTTGAGTTCGAGACAGTTATAAAATTCTGTTAGAGGTTAGTTAGGAGGGGTTAAGAGGTTCGATTTTGTTTTCTGTCATAAGTGGTTTAAGAGCGGTTAGCAATTCTGTTAGTTTTTTGGATTCTGTTAACAGTTGGTTAGCAGTTCTGTTAAAGATTGTTAGAGGTTTAGAAAATCTGCTGGAAGTTTCCTTTTGAGGCAGTTAAGAGATTCTGTTAAGCTTTTTCTGTTGCAAGGTGAAGATGGTGTAGTAGAAAGCAAAGAGGATTTGCAGAATATAATTTTTGATGTCCGTTTCTTTTTCCTCTCTATTTTTTGTATATATAATCGTGAATTCCTTCCCTCTGTCTCTTTTCTGTTATTATGTTAGTTTGCTGTCGTTATTTCTGTTATATGATTTTCTTTCTCTGATCTTTTCCTGATGCACTGTCGCGGGGTCTATGTGGATAGCAGGTCGCATCCTTGTGCTTCTTGAAAACTTGCATCAACGACTGCACCATTCGGTACCATTCTAACAGGGTTTTGAGATAATTCAGAGCTAAAGACCCCCCTTGAAGATTCCCTTATATATGGTGCTATTGATGGATAGCTGATTAAATTGATACTGCCTTCATCGGAGCTAGCAGTCCTGTCATCTAAGCCTGTGGATGGTGTTCTAGCAGCATCCATATATTGCCTGTTAGTTATGCTGCTTAAGGAACCATTTTGTAAAAATGCAATCTTGAAACCTTTTGAACAACATTTATTTTTTTGGAATGTTGTCATGAGATTAACTTTTTTAAGGACCTTGAATGGGTTTGAATGTATATGGATGATTCTTGATTTTTTACAACTTTAGTGAATATTTGTAGTGAACACGAACTTGAATGAAGTTGAATAGCTTTTGTAATAAAATGATTAAGTGTTGAGCATGATGAATAAGGTGAAGATGATTAGGATGAACGAGTGTCTCTTTGTAACTTTGGTGTAACGATTTGAATTTGTAATGAACAAAACTCACTGAATGTAATGGCCTTGTTATTTTAAGGTCCTTGGGTGAAATTTAGATGAATTTATGGTTAACGTAACATGTACTTCAAATGACCAAATTTAGTGAACTCCTGAACCTTGCCTAATGCCATTGAATGGCCATGAATCACTTTACTTAGACTTTTGAAATTAAACTATGGGAATTACTTAACCAATATCTCAAATTCATCTCCTCCACTGAAACTCTAATTCAAGTCCTCGAATAATTTGTGTGACAAGCAACAAACAATAAACACGTCTTGAACGATGTTTGAACTCGCAATCCTTTGCAAATTTGTAAGTTGTATACCAAGAGGACCATATGAATGAACCTTCCAACCTTATCTTGAACCAACCATTGATAAGTCATGAACTTAATAAGACCTTGAACCAATATTAAATTCGAGCATGATCAGAAGTTTCAACAAATCCAAATGAGTAATCATTTCTCTCAATAATCCAAATTAACTTGCAATTGAAGTAACAAGTATTTGATGAAACCAAAAATTGTATCATTCAAAATAAGTCCACAATGTTTAAGTAAAGAGGCTCAAGATAACCATAAGATCGAGCTCTAATCCAATGATCCCCAATTGAAGCATAATAGATGAAAACCCTAATTCTTAATCCTTGAAGAAAGATTTCAACTTGATGTTGAGAAGCAGAGAATAGCCCCGTAGCTTGATGATAAAGAAGTCCACGAAATAAAACCCTAGCTACAAACAAATGATTGATTGAGAAATCAATCGAAGAAAGCTTGTGCAAAAATGAGAGCCTTAAAGCCATACAACAACCCTAATTCTTCAATATCCTTGATCTCGTGCTAAATTTACTGGTTAATGATGCATGATGCGTTAGATGGCCTAATGTAAAAGTATATGCACGAAGGATGTGAGATGCATAAGTTAGATGATTCTTGTTAAAGGGTAGGACAAATTTGGGGAATTACAGCTGCCCCTATTTAATCGTCTTAAACCTGAAAGTATGATTGACGCGTGCCTTTCAGAAGTTCGAGGTAGAAGATGATTAAATACCAATACCAAAAATTTGTTTTGAAAGAACGTATGAGTGTTTATTTATTATTGTGATATCTGCTGGGGGAAGAATTCTTCTTTTCTGGTGAGAAGGCAGAGATTGGACTTGTAACGTGGCGTGATGCTAATACAAGACAAAGGTTGGTGCGAAAAGATAGAGGATAAGATCTACGGGCGACCTACGATCCTAAGGTGAAACATAAGGGTGGTCTGTCGGAGAACCTAGCCTACGGGCGATCTCAGGTTCTAAGACAAGATCTATGGGAAGAACCTAGCCAACGGGCGATCTCAGGTTCTAAGATGATCTATAGGAGGAACCTAGCCAACGAGCGATCTCAGGTTCTAAGATGATCTATTAGAAGAACCTATCCAACGGGCAATCTCAGGTTCTAAGATGATCATATAAGAAGAACCTAGCGAACGAGCGATCTCAAGTTCTAAGATGCTCATATAGGAAGAACCTAGATAACGAGCGATCTCAGGTTCTAAGATGATCATTTGGAAGAACCTAGCCAACGGGAGATCTCAGATTCTAAGATGATCTTATAGGAAGAACCTAGCCAACGGGAGATCTTAGGTTCTAAGATGATCTATTGGAAGAACCTAGCCAACAGGTGATCTCAGGTTCTAAGATTATCTATAGGAATAACCTAGCCAATGAGAGATCTCAAGTTCTAAGATGATCTATTGGAAGAACCTAGCCAACGGGAGATCTCAGGTTCTAAGATGATCTATAGGAAGAACCTAGCCAACATAAGACCTCAGGTTCTAAGATGATCATATAGGAAGAACCTATCCAACGGGCGATCTCAGGTTCTAAGATGATCTATTGGAAGAACCTAGCCAACAAGCGATCTCAGGTTCTAAGATGATATATTTTAAGAACCTAGCCTACGGGCGATTTCAGATTCTAAGATGATCTATAGGAAGAACCTAGCCAACGTGCGATCTCAGGTTCTAAGATGATCTATTGGAAGAACCTGGCCAACGGGAAATCTCAGGTTCTAAGATGATATATTGGAAGAACCTAGCTGTTGTACCCTAAAATTTTCCCTCTCATTTATCAATTAATTTCTCACAAGATCTCCTCTGGTTCAAGATTGCACTAGGATTGATCAGCTCAAGGCACCTCCTCAAGCTCTAATGAGTGAAAATTAGGGTTTGAGATTGCACAAGGATAATTGAACTTTTAATGCCTAATATGACTTTCATGGATCATTATGGACCCTCAAGATTGCTCATGTCAAGTTTCAAGTCTTGGATCACATTTTTGCTCAGTCAATTGATCAATTGACCTAAAAATCAACTGTATTGGGGAAAAAGTCAACTGTGGTCAATTTACAGTCAAACTTCATAATTTTTTATCCATGTCAACATTATGAGCTCATATATGTCATTTGATCAAGTTTGGACCATAATTCCTCAAGAAATTTGATCAGATCATCAAAAGGGCAAAATGGTCAAAATTAGGGTTTTGACTGAGAAAAGGCAATTTTTGATTTTTGACCTAGAAAATGGTTGATTTGTTGGAAACATGATCTCAAGGATTCAATTGCATCATTTTTACCTAATGGCATGACTCAAAACATTGCTCAAGGTCAATTATTTGATAGTTGATTTTTAGTCAACTGATCAAAAGTCAACTACATACTGAAAAGTCAAACTTTGACTTTTTGGTCAAAATCAAGTGTCAAAGATCACAATTCATCAAAATATGTCAAAATATGAAACTTGTTCATCAAGAAATCAAAAAGTCAAGATTTCATTTTGAAAAGTCAAAGTTTCCAAACTTCGAAATTTTTCTAAGTGTTGAAAACTTCATATTTGTTCACAACTTTGAGCCAATTTTTCACCATGATGCAAGATGATTCAAAGGAAACTTTCATCATGAAAGTTGTAGATCTAAATGAGATCTAAAATATTTCTGAACACAACTCCTCCTAGAAATGCTTGGATTTTAAGTTATTAATCCATGAAATCATGGTCATGAAACTAAAACACTTAGTGAACTTTTGAGCATTTTGGTCAGGATTTTGACCTAACTTCTGGGCCAAGTTTCACATAGTTACATTTGGATTTTGCAAAGATGATTCAAAGAGGGATTGTAGAGAAAATTACAAGCTTTCCAAAATGTCCAAGAACTCCTTGAGATCATTTTTGAGCAAGGAGAATCAAAGGTCATAAGTTAGGGTTTCAAGTTGTTTTACAAGGCAGAATTTGTGATGCACAATGGACCAAATCACATAGCCATGTTGCATAATCTCACTTTGCAGGCTTCTAACTTGAAATTCACTCCTTAATTAAATGTTTACACAACATATTGAGCCATTGTCCAAACATTTGAACCATTATCCAAGTTGCATTTCCATTTTTGGAAGAAAGGCACCATTGTTATTCTTGAAAAGTGGCTTTAATCACAAAGTCCACTCTTCTTGAGAATTGGACTTGTTATTTCTGCATACACAAACCCTATAAACCAAAATCAAGCATATCTAAATTACTAACCACTCTATGCAGCCCTGTACCTTGCCTTGGAACAAGATGTTTCAACTTTGCTTCAAAAACAAGTAAAGATGCTACAACTTGGATTTTCAAATTCTGGCTTGTTGTAACATACAATACCTCTTGCCTATAAATATACAAGTCATTTGCAAGCTAACACACGCATTCTCAAGCCCTGAAACCCCCTAAAGCACATAACCACCAAAAACATCTCAAAACGTACCATTTTTGAGTTTTGAATTCAATCTCTAAATTTACTCGTGCGTTTCTTGGCCTTTTACTTTCAAAAGCTTCTAAATAACATATACAAACAATTCCAACACCCGAAACACAACTGTAGCACCTCCATCACCATCCACCATTTTCAAAAACAACACCTTGCACCTTGACTTCTCCAGAACTCCTCAGCCACTTTCAGCTCAAGCCAAGCATCACATTAGCTTCCTAGGAACTTGAGGAAGCTAACCTAATCACTAGAACTCATTGAAAGCTGCTCAAACTCAAAACACGATACCCTCTTGCAAGGTGAGTTTTCTGAATTTTGAACTATTCATATAAGCATTGTTAGGCTTCCATTTTCAAAGATAAAATGTAGACCTCATTGCCACGAAGCTGTACATATCCATAGTTTGCATTTATATGGCTTGAACTTAGAGAATTTTGGAGTTGAAGTTTCTAAAAATTTTAGGTTTTAAATTAGGGCCAGAAAAATTCTCACTCATCTTTGATTTTTAGCTTTAGTTATTTATATGGTTGGATTCGTGGGAAGAAATGCAACAACTTTCATGTTGTCATCTTCCATTTTTGTTGAGAAATGAGAAAGTTGCAGGTTGCCTGGCTGGGCGTGAGGTTGAAGATGAAGTTCAAGTGTTGGCTCTGGAATTCGACACCCACTATATATTGGCCTTATGGGCCAAAGATAGAGAAAATAAAGCCAAGTAGGAAAATTATTCGATGGATGAAGAAACTTAGAGAAAATATCTGAGTTACAAATTGGTCTTCCACCAGACATCACCATCAAACCTTCGACTAGAAAGGTCCTGTGACCTTCGACTAGAAGAACAAACCCTCGTGTTAGCACCAAGGATGAAGGATATTTGAATTTGAAGATTGAAGGGAAATGCA